GCTGACAATGCACGCGCGAGTTCACTTGGCGACTGACAGGAAGAAGCAAACCAGGAAAAAGGCGGCCTCCTGACACCGTCAGGTCGCTTGATCTCCCTGCAGGGGAATCGAGAATATTTGCCAGCGCGATCTCGTCCCGAAGCGCATCGCCAGGACGGCTTGTACGCCCTGACGATCTGGCTTCGGCGAACACAGAGATGCTACCCCGACGAAGGAAGAAACCTCGTGTAGAGTGTCCGCATGTCAGCGACGATGATCCGTTCGGACAGTGTGGCAAGCCTCCAGCGCGACGACTCTCAAGTTTCGGCATGCATGCGTCTCATCTCCCTCGACGGCTAGCGCGATGATTCGGAGGAGCCAGGTCCCTTTACCGATAAATGGAGAGTTTCTATGAACGGCCGCAGTCAATGCGTGCGTTACAGGCAGGGAGGGGGGACGGACGATGACGGACGATGCGAGGTACGAGAAGCGAGGATTAATGAAGGATGTAAGTAGGTTTCGAGATCAGAGCATCAGCGTGAGCTTACCTGGCATATGACAGGAAAAGGAAAAACGTGGTCTCCTGACGACGCCTCATCATCACACTCCGGGGCTCCTTGGTAAGATGGTCTCTTCCGATCCTGCCCTACCGAGGAGCGAGACCTTGGTCTTGGTTTCGGGAATGAAGCGACGGGCGTGTTAGCGTGCCTAGCACGAAGTGCCCTCAACGGGGCCTGTGCCCGCCCAGGCATCTTGACCGGTGTCAACACGATGTCTGGACCTGATTATACCGCCGAAATCCTCTTATAAATGAAATGCATTTGAGTCGGAGCGGCCATATCACAAGCCAGATCAACCCTCGACCTCCATGGAATCCTCGTAACTCCCGCCTTCATAGTCATCCTCGCCGTCGTCTACAACATTCGAGCTAGCGCTTTCCGGTCCTGCGCCACCGGCGCCGTGCGGATCTAGGCCTTCGTCGCTCGCCTTTAGCATCCACTCGGCTTCGACGCACGTCAGCCACGTCTACACCATGACTCCCATACGTTCGTCGAGGACACCCACCGATATCGATCCTGTCGTTGTGCCCGTGGTGCCTCAGCAGCCACTCCCAGTCTTCCTCCTCCTCGTGCTCCACCGCCGCATAGAACGCCTTGGGCCACGACCACCTCTCCGAAAACACCGGGTCGCCCGTCTCGACATCGCGCTCGACGGTATGGACGCCGAAGTTGAACCCGAGCAGCTCCAACAAGCGCGGCGGATGCTGGGAGAGGACGTCCCAGAGGCCGATCTCGACGCCCAGCTCGCACACGACGTTCACGAACCGGAGCGCTCCGCGCGTGCCAAACTACCCGGCGCACAGCACAAAACCGACGTTACCTCAAGAGACTCGCGCTGGAAGGAAGGAACAGCTCACGAAGTCCATCCAGTCCTCCATCGCCATATCCGCTTGTCCCACACGCGCATACACGTGCAGCGCCGTCAGGCCGCGCGGCAGGTTGATGTCGAGGAACTCGACGAGGCCCCGGACCAGATATGCAGGGTAGAAGTCGAACCCGAGCACCTCGAGCGCAGGCAACTTGGGGAGCGACCACATGAGTGGGCAGCCGCCGTAGAACGCGAGCGCGCTCGCCCCGAGCACAACGTCGAGCCGCCTAAGGGTCGCACCGCGCCCGGAGATGAAATCCGCGACGTCCTGCGCAGGGTTCGTTCCCCGCGGGAAGCCGGAGTTGTGCAGGAGCTTGAAGGAGTGCAGGGCGGGAAACGCGTCTGGGTGCGTGCGGAGGGCCTCGGTGACGGCCTCGTCGATGCCCAGGTCCGCGTCGACGCAGAATGTGAGGGACTGGAGGCGGGTCAGGTGCAGGAAAAGGGCATCAAGGCCAGAGATTGTGCGCGGGAAGATGAGCGAGAGCTCTTGAAGATGCACGAACGCTTGGGGGTCGCAGCCGTAGAGGACCGCGACGTTCTGACTGCTCGACGAGACGCATAGACGGCGGAGGGTGACCGCGGTCGCCATAATGATTCTCTTGGCCGTCTCGATGGGAGGCTCAGCTCCCGAGTTGGAGGAATTGCGTTGGAGGACTGCGAAGGATGTCAATTGCGTGTGGGATGTCAGGCGGAGGCCTTTCGGGAAGTCCATCCTGCGGGCGAGGAGGTCGTGTGGTAAGTTGAGCGGGGTACAGAGAGGAGTGCGGTGGACACATTACGGCAGAGAGAGATGGACGAGCGTTTTCCCAGACGCTTCGATGAGGGCATCGAAAATGCCCCTTGATGGTGCAGGATTGGTCCCGTACCAGGTTAACGCACGTAGATTGCGCATCTTGTTAAGAGCACGGGCGAGAATACCTATGGGAAGAGGTTAGATCAGTACGAGCGCAGGAGACATGCACTGACCCATACCGATATCGAAGGCAATTTCGACGTTCGTCCCGAGTCCTTGTGCACGTACGGTGACTTTTCTGACCACATCTGCGAATTCTGGAGTGGCCAGGATGTGTCGCAGGAGGTTCAAGCTCCTACGGGCATCACGGCCGACTTCGTCTTGAATAGTCTTGTTTAGCGGATATGTGTCACCTTCGATATCCACGTCTTTCCACAGTCCCAGAGTGATGGTTATATCGGAAAAGACAAGTCGTTTCGCAACAGTATGGTGTGTGCTCGAGATCGACAAGCAGGTCCTCCGGTCCGAGGGCGGTAGATGCTGCATCACGAGTGCCCAGACCTCAGGAGCCAGCTGTCTCTCCATGTCTGGGATCGCGACGAGGAGTGCAGGGCTTGAGGTCAAGTGCCCGGGGCGTTTGCTCGGCGATGGTGGGGGATTATGAACAAGCTCGAGAGGTCGATCGTCCTCCGCCAACGACTGAAATGCCACCCCCACGTGGTCACCAGGCGCTGGGCGCGTTTGAACGTGCGCGCTCCTAGGCGGCCTCGTTCTCCTCTCCTGACCGAGATTTGCCCACAAGCCAACTCAGCGACGCCGCTCGCCGTACGGAATCGTTCTGTTATGGAACCTGCTCACCGGTGGGTACCATATTGGGCAGCGAATGTTAGCTCCTGCTGAGGTTATCGACCGGGTAGCAGCCTCGATGCGCGCGATTGGACGGATCTTACTCACCAGAGTGATCGAAGGTTTGCGAGAGGGGTCAATGTATACGCTATAGCGTTATCGGGTTGCGGCCTAGTTGCCCGCGTGAATTCCAGGGATCCGGTACGGTGGCAAGCGAGATCTGGCTGCAGAAACTGTTTATGAAGACTTCTTACAGCCGCTATGGGCAGCGCCGTCGTAGATTCGGGAAGGCGTCTTGTGATGGTTAGGTGGAAAGCGACGTAAACGCTCGGCGACTTGAGTTGTGGCTGGAGTTCATTCCCGTGTGAGTGGATCCGGGCACGCGCTCGAACATCAGGTTCCGAGCTTCTCTCTGAGAACTCGATCACAGCCTCCCACGTTGCCGACCTATTCATGTCATTCCGGAGACGCTCTGCGACATCGGGGGATCTCGTACACAATCTACACCTGGCCATTCTGATCGGAACACGGTCAATCTCTCCTCCAACTGGGCTGTACAAAGCGAACATAACGTCAAGTCTTCGTAGGAAGGGCTTGGTCCTGATGAAATTGGCACGAGTGTGCATGCCCTCTGGCTAGAAGCCGTAGCAGCTCAGAAGCTTGAGCGAAATGAACGGGGAAATGAATTGGCGTGGGTGTGTAGCACCCAGCTCATTCGGTACTAAACGAGCAGTCGAACGCAGTATCGAATATGAACCCGAGGCCATCGATAGTCGCAGTGGAGAAAGTTCACCGAGCTTCCGGAACGATTGAGAACTGATATCGTAAGCGATACCTGCGAGGTTGGTTGACAGGCAAACAGAATTGATCGTGTTTGCATTGGTCGTTACAAAGTGGCGAGCAAGCTCGGTAGTTTCTGGGTACACGCGGCCGTACTGCGTCGGCTGCCGCATGTCAAGGACGGAACCGGAAAGGGCCATGGCCTCACTGAGAGACTGGGATGGAGGTCATACAATTGTGAACGTCCCTAAGGAGAATACGATACCTGAGGGCAACTTGACCTCACTTGAGCAATACTTTGACAATGTTCGACCCTGATGGCCAACATGAGATTGCCCTATTTACGTCACGAATCATGAGCGTCTGGTGTCGGCAAAGTCCATCCGTATTCTCGAGTTCGTATCGATCGCACTATCGCCATCTGGATGATGCTATCGGGACACATCACGGCAGGCAATCGGGCGTGTTCGATCGGCGAAAACTCGATGAAGAGCGGACACGGCAGGCAAAGCGCGATGGTTCAGGTGAGGAAATCTATGTCAAATATACGGGCGATGCAACGTGCCCATAAGATTTCCCAAATCACAAAGAGGGATACAAAGGCCCTCTAGAAATGCTAGGGTCAGGTTGCGTTGCCCATAAATGCCGCACAGATTTCCCTGCTTGGAGCCTGGCGCTTTGCCCGCTGTGGGACGCACAAGATACTCTCTGTGTGCAAACATCGCCTCGCTGGACAAAAGTATTTGGGATCGCAGGCGGTTCCAATTCTCCCCAGTCGAAAACACGCGGATCTCTGCCGTGCATATGACTTACAGAGAGGGATCGCGGCCATCTCTACAGCTGGTCTGCCGGCATCGATGCTCAAGGCTCAAAGCTATGTAGCCCAACACCCTAGGAAGCTCGGGAATCAATGACGCATCTCGGACAGCTCAGGAAGCATGCTCACAGAAGATGTCCTCGTTATCTTCTCCATGGTGTCGCAGCAACCACTCCCAGTCGGCATTGCCGAAGTTGTCGCGTGTACGGGATTGTACTAATGGATGCGACCAGCACTCTCAGAGCATAATCAAGGCCTTTGCGGACGCGAACGACCTCAGAGACTCGCACTAAACCCCGAAGGCAAGACTATAGTGGAAAGCTGCCCAATGACTTCATATCAGAGCTCTGCAGCGAATATCATGGCATCTGTTCGAGAAGAAGGGAGGATTAGTGAGACGGGAGAACGTGCACGTACCGAGATCCAGCCTCTGCAACGCAATTTATGTCGATTCGACGCATTTGCCATTGCGATTAGTACGCCACGCCGTTGCCAGAGCGGCGGCATTTCAAACTTGACAGCTGAACGACAGCCTGCGATGCGTATAGGTGCTACAAGGGCCGCACCGCCGGCCTGGGCCTCTCATGCCCATTGTATGCTCCACCATCGCGCAGAATATTGAATAACCTCCGTAATGATCAGGGCATTGTAGCCACGTTAGGCGGCCTCCGGGATGCGGATCCACTTCCACGCTCGCGGAGGTACTCTGATAGCATTATGATCGCTATACGTCAAGATATTTGGAAATGCACGTACGCAACGGACTGATCCGCGAGTGACGGCCACAGGGCAGGCCTCAGGTGATGCGGCATTCAAGCTGCACATGGAAGGTCGTCAGCATTAACCAGATGCGATCTTCATCCATGTCGCTGAACAAACCTGAAACCAATCGAAGTGCGATAGATCTCGTAAGTAGGAGCTGTCGAGGTCAGAAGAAACCAGTAGAACTTGCGTCTCATAGCAGCTTCGGACAAGTACGTAGTATCGGCCCACTTGCGAGGCAAGTGCTTGTGTCTATTGCGCACTCCAGCCGCTATATTGCACATATCGAGAGCCCAAAGGACTACAGGATGACCTTGAAGTGGGAGAAGACTGATTTTGAAGGGTTGTGACGTGGCGCACCTTCAGTACTAGAGATCGACGACCAAATTATGTCGTGCAACTTCGAACTGGCGCACTCATGGCGTTCAGTAGTGACGCACATGTGAGCCAGTGGCCAAGTGCAGCATTGGCCACGTTTGCTGAAATGATACTCACGACCGTCGCATCGTAGCTGAACGAAGGGGTTGCAGGCTCGGGACGCAGAGACCAGGCAAACTCGATCTCGCGTGGGAAAACGAACTTGTGGCGGAGGCGTATAAGTAATACTTGACCCCAGTACGGCAGTCGGAAGGAGTCCGACCATGGTTGGTCTCGACTAACAGCCCGAGCACAGGTCCTTGGATTAATCCCCATTACATAGCCAATCTTGGATGCCAATAAGGTTTCACATGACAGAATATAGGCACAAACACGGGATCCTGGGCGTGGTCCATGTCCTGAACATAGCTCGGTGCCAGCAGGACCTATCGGAATCAAGCCGACTGCCTGTGGCGAACCTCCTGGTTTCTCACGACCACATATTCAGATCTCAGCGTGATCATATACATGAACATACCTACCAGTAAGTGAACGCGGTTCTCGGTATCGTGTTGAAAACCCTGACGAGTTCAAACCAGGCTGGCGTGTTGACTCGTAGCCTACAATCCCTGACACAGAGCGTCAGAGAAGGTGTCACCCGAATCCACTAGTGGATTCCAGGTTTCGTTGACTTTATCGATCGTGATAGTTACGATCTTACGCAGGCGGGACAGGCTTGGACGAAGGATTTCCAGAGCATCGGGCTCGCGGACGTCATGATTCATCAACCCACCACGCTGCCTGATCTGGACGTTACAGGGCCTAGACCTGCAAACAACGCGGAATATGACGTAGAAGCGGCGGTGACACCTACCACTGGACGCGCATTCTGAGAGAAAGCACATTTCCGAGGGATCGCTTGTGTATCCTGCCATATAGTGGTTTTCTGCTCTCAGTCTGCTTAGTGCGCTCCCACAGAATCCGCACACGGACAGTGCAGAGACATTGAGTAGAGGCTGAACGTGCAGATAGGCTCATGCGTTCTGGTTAATATAGCGATATCTTCACAACAAATCCAGTACCTCCCGGTACCCTTCTACTGAGGCGTCGCCCCAGGACCAAACACCTCGGCGTGTAGCCTGTTCGGCTCAACACCCCGCGCTTTCAACGCCTCGAACATGTCCGCCATGAACTGTCCCGGCCCGCACACGTAATACTGCGTGGTTCGATCGTCGAGTCGCAGGGTCGGGCGGTCAACCTCGTTGAGGTCCAGCCGTGCGCGGACGTCGTAGTCCGTGCCCTGCACGTCATTCTCCTGCGGATTGGAGTAAAATATCGTTGTCTTGACCTGGTCAGGGTGCTTCCTGGCCACGGACGCGACGTACTCCTTAAACGGATGCAGGCTGCCGTTTCGCACGGCCTGCACCCAGGACACGTGGCGCCGGGTGGCCTCTGCCTTGACGAGTGTGTTGAGCATGGAGAGCAGGGGCGTAAGGCCGATCCCGGCGGAGAGGAGGACGACGGGGGAGGAGGAGGCGTCGAGAAAGAATTCGCCGAAGGGGTAAGCGAGCTCTACGGTGTCACTCTCGTTGAGCGTCTCGTGTAGGATGTTCGAGATCCACCCGGGATGCGACAGCTGCGAGGAGTCGGAGAGGTTTGTAGGAATACCGTCCTCGCGCTTGACGGAGATGCGGTAGTAATCGGGATTATGGGCGTCGGAGAGGGAGTATCTGATGAGAGGACAAATGGGCAGACTGACAGATAGCGCAGGAAGAACGCGGCCTACTGTCTGTTCTGGATTATACCAAGCTTCGGTACGTAGCGCTGCACGGAGATGTACTGCCCAGGGCGGAAGGGCTCGAGGGGCTTGCCATCCTTCGGCTTGAAGTAGAAGCTCATGATTTCGTCGCTTTCCTTCACCTTTTTGTTTGTCGACGATGAACTCGCGCCAGCCAACCCAGCCGGCTCCCTCATACAGCTCGCGCTCGCGGTCGATGAATATGTATGCCAAGTTCCAGTAAGCATGTATCCACGCCTCCGCGAGCTCACCCTTGACGACGTCCGCGCCAACCACCTGGATGATCGCGTCCGTGAGGTATTTTGCGACGATTTCGTACTGAGCAGGCTCGATGTGGATGGACGCGTGCTTGTGCGCAATGCGCTCGACGAAAGACAGGATGGGGGTGAGGTCTTCGATATGAGAAGCGTACGCTAGGAGTGCGTGTGCCAGGGCTTCGGGTTGATGGCCACGCTGTGGTTGAGTCGTGAGCTTGATGTTATGCAACACGAAGAGAATGACTAGCTTACGTCCTGCTTGCTTTGGCTGAAGAGGTTCATGAGCAGGGGAGTTTCGGCGAGCATACGCTTGTACATAAGGGTTGTGATCTCGTTGCCATGCTGCTCAAGTACGGGCACAATCCCAGAGATGAGCTTGCGCTGCACAGGCGTCATCGGCTGGCAACGCGGAGTAGATGGGGCATCTGCGTGGGGGAGCTCTCTTGGCATGTCAGAGGTATCGTGGGCGAACGATAGGCGCGATCGGGATGGATGAAGGCTAAGGCTTGAGGATGCTGCTCCCCGACGTCTACTGATGCCATATTATATACGTCGCCCAGCGCGACTGCGAGTCTGTTGCGTGTGGAAGAAGTCGGAAGTCAAGTATACTTTCTGACCTGGACATGGGCGAGACCGTTACCGGATTGCAGATACGGGGCCAAGTGAGACCGGACGGGGCGGCTCGTCAAGATGATCGGGGCATGGCTTCCTACGGTGCGAAATGGTGCGAAGCGTTCCGACGTTGAAAGACCGGTGCTAGGAACAAAATATACCTGTCGAGTCCACGCCGATGTGACCAACTGCGGCGACCTGATTCGCTCAAGCCTGGTCAATTGCCAGGACTCGGGACGTGAGGCGATAAATTGCACGTACTGAGCGGCTCTTGCTCTCCGATCATCCGCCGATGGCGTACTATGTCGCTATGCAGTCCATCAGAGGTCGCGAGGTGCTATACTTGCGAAGTGCCAGGTAAAACTCGTCAGACAACCTCCAGGTATACATATGTCCAGAAGTAGCCGTGGAAGGCGCGAGTCTGACTTACCGCCATTCAGCGCAACTACCTCTTCACTCTCTTCAGTCGCATCTCGCCAGTAGTCACGACATCCCGCCTTGAAACATCGCAGGTGTATTTTCAGTAAGTAGCAATGCGTGAGTTCAAAGGCAATCAGGGGCTGACAGGCCTAGAACGTACATTGTAGGAATCGCGTTACACACGTAGAAGGGCTATGGTGGTCCAGGTCAAAGGGGACTTCACGCTAAGTCTTTCAAAAATTTTCTTCCACATTGATTGACGGTGCATGAGGAGTGCATGAGGAGGCAAATAAAGATCCAGTTGGGAAAGCTGCAAGGGCCTATTCAAGGAAGAAGCGGGAGCATCTCCGTCGCCCGAATATGTCCGAGTATTCAGGCGCCCATGTTTGGCCCGCCGGCGCTATCCACCAGAACAGATGCTCGCCTCTCGCTTCTCGACAAAATAACCACGTCTCTCTCGAACCATACCCGATGCTCACCGTCCTTCATAAGTACTGCAATTTCTTCGAGATGGTTGGTAAGCGCGTGAAGCAAACACCGACGACCCGTTCTACCACCTCAAGGAAAGCGAGATGTGGACTAGCGGCAGACTGTTTTGTTGACGCATCTGACACCCTGATTCCTCGTTGTTTTCTTCCAAGCCGAACCGAATGAGGGGATCCCGATGTTCGCCACCGAACACCACCAACCTCTGACTCCAAACTCGAAGCGTCTATGAACCCTTGCGTGCGTCCTTCCTCTCTTTCCTGAGAACCCCCATGTTATTTTCTGACTCTACATGCCCTACTTAGGTGCGCAGGCCACTCGCATCACTATGGTGTTGGGTCGCTGGTCGTACGCTCCGATGTCACGACGCTGTACGTCACACTCTGCGTCTTCCGTCTCGTACTGGCATACTTACCTTCTTCTCTCGTTGTCAGCCAACGTCGGTGCACGTTTTAAGTAGCAGCAATCCTTAGTATGTCCTTCCCCACTAAATGTATGCTCAGCCACTGGTGACTGTGGCACACAGACTGCTGCTCCATTTCAAAAGGGGCGAGTCTCGCCCCTGGAGAACTAAGCTTCTTACTGGGCATGGCTAATCTGCAACCACGAGTGTTCCCCATATATTGTTCCTTGTCCGGCCCCTGCTCACCACGCCACGGTCGCAGTACGCTACATGCGCAAAGACGTCAGCAGCCCCGTCGATAGTAAGCACGCCTAGTGGCAGCCGCCGTTTGCGGCGCGTCCCACTCGGGCTGTTTCCCCGCCCCTGCCGCCAAATACCATACTGTAAGGGAGAGGTGTACGAGCCAACCCCTCCCGGTAAATTCGCCTTGCGTGGACAGGCGACTCGTGGTGCGGAGTTACGCGTGGCGCGTGCAAGGCTGAGCCTTCAACTGGCAAGTCTCCACTACATTGCAGCATACGTCTTGCTGGCACGCTGACTGAATGTCCCTGGAAAGTGCGCCCTAGCATTTGCTAACAAGGCTGGTTCATGTGTCTGGTGCGTGTTCATAACACATGGTGCTCGCGGACCTATCATTTGGTAAGTACACAATATACTCATGGTGGATTTCGCTCGCACCGTATAGTAGACTAGGCAACCATTGCAAGGCGGCCTGGCGAAAGCTTGTTGCTGCGGCATAATGGGCGGCCTTTCCCTGATGGCGGTGTCCCACGTGGCCCTCACCTTCCGGACAGTTCGGATCATCATTCGGAAGCCAATGTATGGCGCTTACACCACATTCACCGGGACTTGCACTGATGACTCTGCCACTCCGACTACTACGTAGCAGTACCAAACTCAGCAAAATCAACCTTTTTCGCTTTAGCAAATGGGACTACTGATTGTGTTCCTCACGTTCACAGTCTATGCCACTTCTTGATCGACTGCTTCCTTAGTACTCACTGCATACACCGGAATCGCACTTTTCCGCCCCTACCTACGGTCCACACCAGCGTTGTTACGGGTCAAGTCAACGGTCATGACTTTTAGACGACGGATGACCGGTCACTGTGTGACCCGGTCATGACCGCCGGTCAAAAGTTAGCACGTGAGATCTCCGGCATGTCCGAGTGTGCGTCTGACGGCAGGCCATGGCTCTCGGATAGGCCAAACGCATCGTGGCCGCGAGGAGGTACAATAAGGGCTGATGAGACTATTGCATACTCATCCCTGTCCTTGAATTTAAATGACCTACTACCCCATAATACGCCATATCTGAGCTGCGAACCGACAAAGAGCTTGCCGACGGATAGATCAAAAATCAACTCATAGGGAACGGAACTCGACTTGGATATGAAGGCCGACGAGAGAACTAGCTGTATATGACAAACGAGCTGCAGTTTCTAGCCAGCAAGAGGAGTCTGAGTCGGAGGAACAGTTGCCCAGCGGCCTACTGTTGGTTGCCACCGTGACAGCTGATCGTTCAGTACTTCGTTAGTCA